CTTTCTGAAGTTCTCCACAAGGTTCATTGGCTCTTGGACAACTCTTCTGAATCTTTTCATTCCTCTGTCAGAAAACCTGTGTGGAGCACCTGCTCGTGGCTGGTTTATGGTGAAATGATGTGCTTTCCACTTCTGGATTATGGCCCCAACAGTCCTCACTGGAGCATTCAGCAGTTTAGAAATTCTTCTATAACCATTGCCATCAATATGTTTTGCAGCAATAAGGTTGCGAAGGTCATGAGAGCTCTTTGCTTTTACCCACCATGAGATGTTTCTTGTGTGACACCTTGGTAATCAGACATTTTTTTTTTTTTTATAGGCCATCAGTTGGGACTAAACCAGCTGATATTAATTTGCACTGACAAGGTATTGCTTTCTAATTACTGATAGATTTAAGTTGGTGTCTTGGCTTTCCATGCCTTTTTGCACCTCCCTTTGTTCATGTGTTCGATAATTTTTTTTTCCCTGTGTCATTCCATCTTTTTATACATAACTTATATTCTGAACTTATTTGTTCTGGTTTCTTTGTATGTATGGATTGCATGGGTGGTTACTGACATATGGTGAAAATTTCATCTCAATAGCTCCTTTAGAAATATATTTACTGAGAAAAATGTTGACTTGTTGAATATTTTTTTTACCCGAGATAGGTATAGATATATAAGGTGTGTGTTATTTTTTTAAGATGTGTTCGGTGATTACTTGAATGAGAGCTGGTTTGTGTTATTAATAAAGTAGTCACGTAGCTGAATATAAATATGGGCCTCTGCAGACTTAAGGGGATTCCCTAAATGACACCACAGAACATTCACTTGAAGAGTGATTATAAGTCCTGAGAAACTGAATGAAAAAAATATCAACCTCAACATTTTAGTATACTTTAAAAATGTTTTTAATTTTCTTAAATCTTAAAATTTTCACTTATAAAAAATTACCCAGTTATCCTGCCATAAAGGGCTTTATTCAGACATTTCATGTTTTTAGGTGACAACTGTGCTCCTGCCTCCTCTTGTGCTCTCCTGGAAGAGATTACTGTCGGCTGTCTAAACACACTTTACACATGCATGGTCTACTGTTGCCACTACTGGAAGGCTGGTCTTGACTAGTGATTGCAGTTCATGGAGTGCATTTATGTAGTCAGGAAATGGCTAAAAGAGGCCAGAGGAGATTGATTATGATACAGTGTAAGCCAGCTAGGGTTTACATCTACTTTCAAATCTCTTAATGTTTTCCACCAATTAGATTTGCACATTCCAACTGAATATTTAAACCATAAATCCCTAAAGATAATCTCCAGGAAGAGGATTTTATTTTCTAAGCTTAAGAATAAAGACTCTCAATGAGATGTCATGATGTTTTTCCACTTGTATGCCTCTGGAGGTTTGATGCATCCTGGTGTTTTATGTGTTTGGAGCCTCTGTTTAGTCCTAATTGTGAACCTATTATCTATATTCAAAGGTTCTGCTTTTTACTCATTAGATCCCGCCTGTTTGTAACAGCAGGATGGCACCATAATTGTTTTTGAGCCCCAAAGTCAGTGACATAACAATGCAAAAAAAGTCATCATTTTTATCAACCCTTTTAATTGCTAATGTAAAAAGCAAATTTCATTTGAATTCCTCTATGATTAATTGCTCTAATGGATATATAGTGGTTTTGTACATAACTTCATTATTGTGCTAATTTTTTATAAAAGGCTCCCAGTTTACTTTGATGAAAAAAGAACAGTTTACTAAGCTTAGTGACTTTCAGCAGTGATTTTTCTTTTTATTGGAGGGTTTAGTTAGAGGTTTTAATCAGGCAAATTGTGCTTCCATGCAAGCAGTTCTGCTCTGCTGTCCCTAGCTAACCTAAAAGGCTTTGGCAATCCTTTCTCATGTAATGCATCGTGTGTGTGTGCGCATTTAAAAAAAAAAATAAAGAATACAATTGATTCCAAACATTAAAGTTTCCTTAGTGTAAGTGTTTGACCTTGTTCAAAATTAAAACCTGTGCTCTATTCCAGCGGAAGGTTATGCTGCCTTCCAGGAGGACAGCTCTGGCGATGAAGCAGAAAGCCCGTCCAAAATGAAGAGATCCAAGGGGATCCATGTATTTAAGAAACCTAGCTTTTCCAAGAAGAAGGAGAAAGACTTTAAAATAAAGGAAAAGCCTAAAGAGGAGAAGCACAAAGAAGACAAGCACAAAGAGAAGAAGTCCAAGGACCTGACCGCTGCCGATGTGGTCAAACAGTGGAAGGAGAAAAAGAAAAAAAAGAAACCCATGACAGAGCCAGAGCTGCCACCTGTAGATGTGCCCAGGCTGAGGCCAGTGTTTGGAATCCCACTGGCTGAAGCTGCAGAAAGGACCATGATGTGTGATGGGATCCGACTACCGGCAGTGTTCCGAGAGTGCATTGATTTCATCGAGCAACATGGCATGAAATGTGAAGGCATCTACAGAGTGTCAGGTATGGTCAGCTAATGACTGTGCTTGTTGGTGACTTTCTAAAGGGTCCATACCACTAGCAGATGTTTTTTAAGATCAAAAGTAGATGTGCTCACTTTAACACAGGATAAACATTGTGTTTTTTCTCTTTCTCTCTTTTTTTTTTTTTTTTACGCCATAGCTATGTTAAATTACGGGCTTAACATCTTCTGGATCTTCTAGATGTATACAGCTTTCAACCTAGTGGTATTAGAGCTGACTTTTGTTGTCTATATTTGCTTTAGTTGTCTTGAAATTAGTATTACTTAAAAAGAGAAGTTCGACAATAAAGAAAACAAACATCCATACTCACCTAGGTGGATGCAGCATCGATTCGATTTAATACTGTCTGATACAGAGCTTCTTGTGACTGATGATCTCTGATGTGATGTAAACCTATAAATAAATAAAAAAATGCGCTCTGTCATTCACCACAGCAGGGGAAGGGTTTATCTCCATTTATATCACAAGGCACTAAAGATCAGTCAGTGCTGTCAGACTGTATGATCTTCTGGTGCAATGTGTTTACTAGCAGCCAGTATATCTTTCAAACAGCCCTGACAGCGCACAGTGTTTTCTGAACTAGTTTCTCAGCCAAACAAGAGAAAACAAATAGCATGGGTCCTCCTATTTAGGACAATAGCAGGTCTGGGGTGGAGTTGCAGCCATCACAAACAGACACAATCGTTTTACTATACGCATAGGTATGGAGGGACGGGGGCACAGAGCCTGTACATGTGGGTCCACGTATCCATTTTGCATACCTGTCAAATTCTGCTGTACAGGTAAGTCCACACAGCCAATGCGTGTCCATTTACTGCACGCAACTCAGCGCTAGAACTAAAAAAGGTTTCTTCACACTCTGCAGAGCTGAGTGCCCATGTGAACGAGCACTTAAAATAGAACTGTGACCAGGGTATGGACATTTAACTATTTACGTGTTCCTAACAAACCTTAAATAGGCTTTATAATAAGCCTTCACTGGCCTCTCTAGCTGCAAACACAGTGGAGCAGTTCATCCTCACAATTTTCAATATATTCAGTGAAGGAATCTGTCTCCTTTCTTCCTGTTTCCCTGCTCTCTGTTTACATTACAGACTAGAAGGCTGGCAGGCTGCTAGGAGGTGAGAACTAAAAGTGTAACGTTACTCATAACAGCTTGATAAAAAAATGAATGTTCTTTAGCAAGGAATAAACATTATACATTAATAAATATGCATTTAAAATTAGTGTGTGCTGTAAATTGCCTCCAGCATTGCTCCTGTTTCTTCTTGCCAGAGGCTGACTTTTTGCTGGAGACCAGAACTTTCTCTTCTTTGCTGAGAACGCTCCCCTATCCTTAGTCTCAAAAAGTATATGCCACTTTCTGCATGTCTTTTCTCAGCAAAAGGGGGAGGTACAGGAGTTGTGGAGTGCTTGGATTCACAGTGCTGCCAAGGGAGAAAAAATCGGGAAGATAAGATAAGCCACTCTCTATAAGTTTAACTCTTTGCTTTTGCTGGTCTCCCCTGCAGCATAGTTTGTCCTGTCAACTCGCCTACTTTCGTTGTTCTCTCTCTTTAAAGTGGAACTTTAGGCAGAAATTTAAGTCCTGCTAAATCACGTCAGGCTGGCCCCTTTTGCAGGTATAGCTATGTAAAACGTTAACAAATAAGTGTCTATAATGTTTTAAATCCAGTAATACGCTCTCACCCTGCTCTCTGCACATACTCAATTGCTCTCTATTTTTTTGTTAGTGCCAAAAATGTAGAGGCCGATATATTGACAGCCTAAAGATTGACCGCTGCTCAGGGGCTCTGGGCTTCAGCAAATGGCAGCCTCCGACAAGAAGAAATCGCAACAATGCTGGAGGCAATTTACTGCACACACTAATTTTGGTAGCAGTATTAATGTGGAAAGTGTCTTCCTTGCTAAAGAAATGTATTTATTGTTTATCATGTTATGGGTAAATTTCAGCTTTAATCAGTCCTTCCTTTGAACAGGCGGTCATATTCCTGTGGTTTCTTCCCTCCCTCATGTTGTCAGCATATCGCCCTCTAGTGACTGCCTCACAGTGCAGAGAATAGAAGCAACTGCGGCTGTGCAGAACAGGGTGGAGAGAGAGGGAGAACTACTGGATTTCAAATAGCATAGGTACTTAATTAAAAAGTTTTATATCCTCATACATATAAAAGGTGCCAGCAGGAAGCAATTTGTCAATACTTACGTTTCTGACTAAGGTTCCACCTAAATGATCTAGTGAGGGAAAACAAATGTGACAGTATTTGTTTCGTAGTTTTGAGGATGAATTCATACATACATTTAAATAAAGAGATCATGGAGAACTCGATACATAGGGAAAAGAAGATTTGGGGGATTGTTCAGAAAGCGGGTTTATTTTTAGGAAACATAAGTCACAAAACAATATAACATATCAATGTTGATTGATTATTTGTTTTCAGGAATCAAGTCAAAGGTCGATGAGTTGAAGGCAGCCTATGATCGGGGAGAGTCTCCAAATCTTGAAGACTATGAGCCTTATACCGTTGCCAGCCTACTGAAGCAATACTTGCGGGAGCTACCTGAAAATGTGCTTACCAAAGATCTGATGCCTCGGTTTGAAGACGCTTGTGGCAAAAGCTCTGAAGCTGAAAGGTTGCAGGAGTGTCAGCGCCTTCTAAAGGAGCTGCCAGAATGCAACCTCTACTTGATTTCATGGTTGATTGTTCACATGGACCATGTCATAGAGAAAGAACTTGAAACTAAAATGAATATACAAAATATTTCTATTGTGCTCAGTCCAACAGTTCAGGTACTAAACTATTCGATTTTTCAGTATTTCCACTATAAACTGTGTACTCATTCTGAATGTCAGCAATACTCAGCATGCAGATATTCATTGTTTAACAGGAGACATGTTATCTCAAACAATGGTCCCAAATTAAGGGAATTGGTATTTATGGGCCATATAATGTCACTTGAGGGTCACACTCCAGATCAATTCCAGCAAAGAAACTATATAGCACTTTGGAATGGGAACTTCACCCTTACCTTACAAATTACAATAAATGCACCTTTAGTAATAGCTGTCTATAAGCAGATATTGTTAGATAATTGTAGGCTTTTTATTCTTTGCGTAGTTTTTTTTTCTCCCCATTTTTCTCGCCGTGGCCATTTTTACTAAGGGCAAATGATTCTATTTCCCTTTACTTCCTGGAACTCTAGGTCTACCTCCTGGAACATGTGACAGTGCACATTGTCTGAGATGGAGGTGATGTAACTGAAAGGCCCTGATTATATCACCAGTGCTCTATTAGGAAATGGAACAACAGTCATTGTTACGTTAAAGAAAAAAGTGACTAAAATCCTAAGTCTAACTATTCTTAAAAATGTTCTCTCTGCTTTACTATTCTGCCTACCCTGTATAAAAAAGACGAGTGTATATACCTATTTTTAATCCACTCCGATCTGATCACATGATCTTGCAGCTTTGGTACAACTGCAGCAGCAACTTAGCCCAGGGGAGCCGTTGGCCCAGGGGAGCTGTTGCTGTGAAATTATCTGACTGGACTGGAGAGGATTACAATAGGTAAGTAGGTAAGTATACATCTTTTGTTTTATACAGTTTGGGTTGGTGCTAGGAGGGGTGAAGGAACATTTTTAGGAATAGTTAGACTTAGGCATTTCTTTCACTTTAACTAATGAATGTAAAATTATTTCAAACCAGCATGTAGAGGTGCATGCTGATGTGATTTTTAGTGAAAAGAGGGGAAAGGTCTGCTATAACACTGTAGCAGTGGTCTCCAAACTGTATCCCGGGGGCTGGATGCTGCCCTTTGCCTGCTTTTATTTGGCCCTTGGGGAATTATTCCCCCCACTGTCAGTAACAGTGGTGCATAGTTTCTGCTACTGACACCAACATTGGGGCACTATTCCTCCCAATGACGGGGCACCATTCCTCCTATTGATACCAATGTATGGGCACCATTCCTACCACTGATACCAATGAATGGGCACCATTCCTACCACTGATACCAATGAATGGGCACCATTCCTACCACTGATACCAATGAAGGGGGCACCATTCCTCCCACTGATACCAATGAAGGGGCACCATTCCTCCCACTGATACCAATGAAGGGGCACCATTCCTCCCACTGATAACAACAACAACAGGGCACTATTACTTCCCCCGTTACCAATGATGGAGCATTGTTTACTCCCACTGACTCCAAGATATTTTCTTCTCCCACTGACAGTTTGGCACCCCTAAAGTTTGAAAGACCGTAAACTGACCTATTTATAGAGTTTGGCGACCCCTGCACTATAGTAACAATTGCAACCTTCAACATTTTGTCCCAGAGAAAAGGGAGCTGCAGTATAAGCTGCAGATTTGAAAAGCATCTCAGGCCTCATTCATTTTAAATGATTAAAGCACCAAGGTCTGCAAAGTTTGCCCGAAAAACAGTTTGACATGCAAGTCTTACAAGTTGCTACCGCCACCTCCGTTTCAAGGGGATTGGATTTCTGCTGGAAGGAGAAATTACCTGATGTACCTTTTTGAAAAAACTTTACAGCATCGGTGAAAAAGAGAGAAAATTCTACTTTTCGGGTCCGTTTACACTAGTGCTATATCTGATGTAACTTGTCATAAAGAATTGCAGGTCAATGGAAATCATTGTTTTCAAAAGTGCCCGTGTACATCAATGCAATGGCACAATTTTGGAAAAGGTTTCTGTACTATGTTTCGATTCCAGCATGATTTTGGCCCCATAGAATATGGAAAGCACTTCAAACTAGCATTCAAGTTGTATAATCACACTAAAGAAAACCTGTAATTTGCTCATCCAGGGAAAAGCAACAAGTTTTCTTTATTCTCTCAAACCTTTAGCTCCAGTTTGAGATGTGAAAGCCTAGGTGCAGCAAAAAGCACAAACCGCAAAACACAACTTGCAGCCAGTAGGATGTGTCCCTTGTGCTGATTTCTCTCTGTTAGTAAAAACCTTCTTCAGTGTTAATGCCTGAAAGCAGCTGTCCGGTGCACAGGTTACAGCCAGTTTCTTCAAAACGTTATGTAAAGGTTGTGGATGATTGACTTTGCCAATATCTTAGAAATCTGTTTTGGATAAATATATCCTGTATTATCTCCTATAATTGGTGGTGTAATAACTAATAGGTGAGATTGTCAAGGCAATGCCAAAGCTTATTTTTCTTGTTGTCTTTCAGATCAGTAACCGCGTTCTATATGTATTTTTTACCCACGTTCAAGAACTCTTTGGAGGAATAGTCATTAAGAAAGTAATTAAACCTCTTCGTTGGTCTAATATGGCCACCATGCCTGCGCTGCCTGAAACACAAGATACCATTAAAGAAGAAATCAGACGACAGGTTGTTCTTTATTATTTTTGGTATCATATGTATAGTTGTATTCCACTACTTTTTGCAGTAATTTCCTATAGGCATGGAAAAGCATCTTTTTGTTTAGATGAGCTAAAGAAACAGATGGGCATTGTGTATAGAATATTTTCTGAAGAAAAAAGTTGTTCTACCAAAAAATCATCTCTTTAATTTTTGATCATCCACTGTGAAAATGACATGTGAGATTCTTTCCTGTAGACAACTGTAACTATGCTGAAGACAAAAGTCCAATTTACCTTTAAATAAATCTGTCATAAGAGATGTGCCATTTACCTCTTTTTTGAATACTAGATACTTGGTTGTTGTGCTGCCCCCCACAAACCTCAGTAATCTGAGTCATTTATCTGTTACTAGTCAGCAGTCCTTGTCTGCAAACTTGTTCTAGGTCATAGACTCAAATTATTGAAGCCAGAGGGTTGTCATGACAGTCAAGTAGTTAGCGTTTTTAAAATGTGATTTCAGCAATGGAAGGCACTGTGTTCTGAATCAAGAGGCGAACGAGGCTGACGAGCACATGTCCTCTGGGTCAATACCTCAATGCAACAAAGGGGGCTTGCGGCAGTGGTCTGGACTGTGGCTGCTGCCAGTGATCTGGGTAGGCAAGCCATTGTTTTTTTCTGCACTATGAGGGTCCATTCACATCTGAGCCTTCTGTGAAAGTGTGTGTTTTCGTGTGTGTAAAACATTCTGCACCCCAAACACGGCAAGCAGATGAGCATTTTTAAAACTTGTAAAGCTTACTGCCCAGAAGAGTACAGGAGCTTCTTTGGCACGGCCAAATGAATGTGCTGTCCTATGCATGTAGCGCACGGAAATGCGTGTTCACAATATGCTATGTATGAACCTAGTGGGACAGTATGAATTTTGCCTTACCAAAAAAATTCACATGGGGCTGGGGTTATTATAATGTCTGCAGGAAAATGTATGTTCCATAGCTTGTTCACACCCTAAAGCATGTAATTTAACGCACATTTTCGTGTGTTGAGATGTGTTGTGTTTGATAGAAAATTCACTAGCATAGTGTCCAGCCAAAAGCCTTTTTTCTAGTTTTGGATACTTTGAAAGGATTAGTACTCCTTTTAGTTTTACCCTCCCCTCATCTCCTGCTGGCAATGGTTTCACCAGACGGGGAGATTTACTAAAACTGGTGCACTCAGAATCTGGTGCGGCTGTGCATGGTAGCCAATCAGCTTCTAACTTAAGCTTGTTCAATTAACCTTTGACAAATACCTGGAAGCTGGTTGGTTTCTGTGCAGAGCTGCAGCAGATTTTGCACCATGCAGTTTTAGAAAATAACCTCCCATGTGTCTGTAATGAGACACAGACCGAGATAAAACTCTAATATGGGTTCCAGATTTCTCCACTACAGAAATACATTTTATTTCTGTCTGTGTTTCTATTGAAGAGTTTGATAAAATGTCATCAGGATAGAAAGAGAAGGGAAATAGTTTTTCATGGAGCTACGTATAGGAGTGAAAGCCTGATAGGGGGTTTAACCATTCCTCACTCAAAACTGAAAAAAAAAAATGTTTTGGCTGGATGTACCTCAATGCATGGTGATAAAAAAAAAAAAAACGGTCCAACACTATTTTTAAAAATGCACTCTGCAGCGCACAAGCATTTCTTGAAGGATAAGTTCACCTTTCAAAAAAAGAAAAATAACTGTGCATCTTTTTTGCAGGTAAAAAAAAATGTGCATTTATAAATTTTTTTTATTCTGCAGCTTGTAAGATATTGCACCCACAATCAGCAGTTTGTGGGTGCAATGCCAGGTTCCTGCAGACACTCAGTGCAGCTGTCTGCCCATACCTTGTAGATTGCCCCATGGGTGAAGTTTAGTATATAGTATGTATTAGTATAGCTTTACACATTGAACACAATAAAATAAATATTTCCCACTAAACATTAAAATTCCTACCCAAGCCCTTGCAGTTTACAACTTTCAATGCTATTTACTCCTCTCCCAGTGTTGTTTCTTTGAACTTTTGGTTATCACAAGAAAGCGTTAACAGTGAACAGTGCAGTCTCTCATCCGCCTGTTAGTTTTGAGAGGGGTGAAAGGAGGAGTAACAGGGGAGTGCCTTGCAATCCCAGGCTTTGGAGCGGTATATTTCTGTTCATGAAAACAGTGTAGGGAGACACAGCTCTAGTCCCTGCAAGCAAGGGTGGCTCCATAGGATGCTGCAAGAGAAAGGAGCCACTCTATAACAAAAAAACCTGGGGGAGCGGCCATTCAAACAGCTTAAACCTGAACATAGGCAAGGTTTAAAAGGTAAAGAAGCTGCATGATCGGTAAGTAATTAAATCAGCTGCTGAAAGTGCTTAAAAAAAACCCCAAAAACTTTAATATTACTTTAACGATCAAGCAGGGTCCCTTTTAATATTCAGCTAACAGCAATGTGGAATAATCATAGCCGTAAAACTAGCTACAATTAATTAAAGGCAAAATTTTTTTTATAGACCTGGAATGATGAGGGGTTAACCCCATGACCCAAGTCTTCCGGCAACTCCCCCTCCTGCTACAATTCTCACCTAGGCAAAAATGACATGTCCTGCTCCTGCAGCCTCCTAGGATATCCTTGTCGCATATCCCAGGAGGCTGCAGGGGACAATCCATAGAGTGGCTAGAGGGCAGAGCTGGATTGCGTCATCAGGAGCCAGGCTGCCCAAACCTGAAAGAGAAAGCTGGCTAAGGAGCCCAAGGTGGAGATGCAGTATATGACACCATAACAATGCAATTGTTGCAAGACTATGCTGGATTTACTGGGCAGGTGTGTATGTTCTTTGAGGAGAACCCAACCAGTAAGGAAGGGATGGGGGAAGAAAAAACAGAGAGGGTAGAAATATTCCATATATTCCAGCTATATTCTGGCTTTATGTATACAGCCAGAATATAGCTGGGTTTTGTAGCTTTTAATATATTTGTAGTGAATATAGCTTCACCACTTAAAGTGGTTAAGTCACTTTTGCATATCGCCTCTATCACCTCTGTTTTAGGAAGATATAAACTACTGTTTGGTCATTTAGAAGAAAAAAAAAAAATCTAATCCTATATACCTTGTTGCAGAGCGCTGCTGGGGTAGGTCATGTGACCTCCCTCCGCTCTCCTTCCCCGGTCTAAGGAGAGCAGCGGAAGGGGCTGAGATTCCCCTCTGAAGTCAGTTGGCCTGAAGAGGGAGGTCACATGACCTCACAGCGGCACTGTACAAGAGGATATTTAGCACTATAAGTTGAAAATAAATGACACCTAGTAGTTTATATCTTCCTAAAACAGAGGGGATAGAAGTGATTTATATACAGTACTTTACTGCCACAGCAGAAGTGTGGCAGGAGGGGAGGGGCAGGGAGGAGATCAATTTCACACACAGACTACTGAACTGAAAGGCATGGAGGGAGGGGGAGAGACTGTAAAAACAGCGGGATGATGGAGGCATGTAAACTATGCTATTGATCATACTTTATAGGGACAGGAGGTTTTTTTTTTTTTAAGGGTTATAACTGCTTTAACTTTACCCATGACTTTAAGTGTAACTGCAGGCAAGCCTTTCAATACAAAGGTGAAGTACTTACTGTATTTTCTGTTTTACCTGCAAAAAAATAAAGCCTGTTCATCTTATTCCATGATTCACACACATCTGTGACTCTGCATAGCTATAGAGGAAACTTATTTTTTTTGGTGTATGTTTGTTTTTTTTTTCCCTGTGTGTTTTGGACTGTATTTTGAAACCATTTTCCTATATTACACAGGAATTTCTGTTGAATTGCCTGCATCGGGATCTTCAGGCTGGTATTAAGGATCTCTCTAAAGAAGAAAGGCTGTGGGAGGTGCAGAGAGGATCTTGACGGCTCTTAAAAGGAAGTTGCGAGAAGCTAAAAGGCAGGTGTGTGACACTCATAGGCTTAGCCTGTCTGCTTCATTAAGCATCTTAGCAACAGGCATGCCTAATGGTACAGAATGGACAAGGCTCACCCTTGTATGGTTCTTGGCTGAGGCCCAACATCCTGAATTAGTTGGTCATGTGATTTGTTAGACTTCACTTGCCAAGCACAGCTGCACCCATTTCACATGCTCTCCCTTGCCTTTTTTTTTGGCCTTGTGCAGTTGTAAAATGTTGTTAGTGTTGATCTAAACTAGTGTGCAAATGCCAAGGTATTTATTCGTATGAGAATAATAAATGGGATTATTTTCCTTGGCAAGATTTTCTTAATTATGCCACAGTTTATCATGCAAGGCAAGAATATCTGGTTACTGGTACGCTGTGGACAATCTAACGTCTAATAATGTGCATGAGCATTTGATTGTAGTTTTGGAATGAAAAAAGTCATTTTAGACTGTGTGATTTGAGCCAAAGCAATAACCACATTAATTTAACCATGATAAACAATACTACAACAGATAGATTTATATATTAAAAAAGTGTAGCACTTCACTTCTTGATCTGGTGAAATAAAAAAAAAATGTGAATATATATGCACCAAAAAAGTGATTTGCAGTAAGACCAGGCAGTAAAGTGCTGAGCAAACTGTTGGCGCCATATAAATCCTGTATAATAATAATAAAGTGAATGCACAGGTGCCTTACATGCAGTATTAGAAGTTATGTTTATGTGCATGTTATTTTGAGTCAGTAAAAAAAATGTTTTATATGGAGAGCATTAGATGGTCGCCTTTTGTCTTTTTGAGGAATTGCTGTATGTGGTGAAGACTGCATTATCAAGAAGAGAGATGTCTCCCTAAAAGGAGGATTTTGTGTACCAGCTGGGATTCCATAAGGAGAGTGTGATGGAGGGCCTGGCTATAATAGCTATATGATGGCAAGGGTTTATTGAGATAGAGATAGATATATATATATATATATATATATATATATATATATATATATATATATATATATATATATATATATATATATATATATATAAATTTTTTACACACACACCATGTGCACAATCATTAGGCAAGTGAGTATGTTGACCAAATCTTCATTTTTATTCATATTGTCAAACTCCCAAGCTGTATAAATGTGAATGCTTATTACATGTATCATATATTCATATGTTGCATATATCATCTGATATGTAATGAGGGAGGGTATGACTTAAGGAGATCAACACCATACAGTCAGGTCCATAAATATTGGGACATGGACACAATTCTAATATTTTTGGCTCTATACACCACCACAATGGAATTAAAATGAAACGAACACGATGTGCTTTAACTGCAGACTTTCAGCTTTAATTTGAGGGTATTTACATCTAAATCAGGTGAACGGTGTAGGAATTACAACAGTTTGCATATGTGCCTCCCACTTGTTAAGGGACCAAAAGTAATGGGACAATTGGCTTCTCAGCTGTTCCATGGCCAGGTGTGTGTTATTCCCTCATTATCCCAATTACAATGAGCAGATAAAAGGTCCAGAGTTCATTTCAAGTGTGCTATTTGCATTTGGAATCTGTTGCTGTCAACTCTCAAGATGAGATCCAAAGAGCTGTCAATATCAGTGAAGCAAGCCATCATTAGGCTGAAAAAGGAAAACAAACCCATCTGAGAGATGGCAAAAACATTAGGCGTGGCCAAAACAACTGTTTGGAACATCCTTAAAAAGAAGGAACGCACCGGTGAGCTCAGCGACACCAAAAGACCCGGAAGACCACGGAAAACAACTGTGGTGGATGACCGAAGAATTCTTTCCCTGGTGAAGAAAACACCCTTCACAACAGTTGGCCAGATCAAGAACACTCTCCAGGAGGTAGGTGTATGTGTGTCAAAGTCAACAATCAAGAGAAGACTTCACCAGAGTGAATACAGAGGGTTCACCACAAGATGTAAACCATTGGTGAGCTCAAAAACAGGAAGGCCAGATTAGAGTTTGCCAAACGACATCTAAAAAAGCCTTCACAGTTCTGGAACAACATCCTATGGACAGATGAGACCAAGATCAACTTGTACCAGAGTGATGGGAAGAGAAGAGTATGGAGAAGGAAAGGAACTGCTCATGATCCTAAGCATACCACCTCATCAGTGAAGCATGGTGGTGGTAGTGTCATGGCGTGGGGCATGTATGGCTGCCAATGGAACTGGTTCTCTTGTATTTATTGATGATGTGACTGCTGACAAAAGCAGCCGGATGAATTCTGAAGTGTTTCGGGCAATATTATCTGCTCATATTCAGCCAAATGCTGCAGAACTCATTGGACGCCGCTTCACAGTGCAGATGGACAATGACCCAAAGCATACTGCAAAAGCAATCAAAGAGTTTTCTAAGGGAAAGAAATGGAATGTTATGCAATGGCCAAGTCAATCACCTGACCTGAATCCGATTGAGCATGCATTTCACTTGCTGAAGACAAAACTGAAGGGAAAATGCCCCAAGAACAAGCAGGAACTGAAGACATTTGCAGTAGAGGCCTGGCAGAGCATCACCAGGGATGAAACCCAGCGTCTGGTGATGTCTATGCGTTCCAGACTTCAGGCTGTAATTGACTGCAAAGGATTTGCAACCAAGTATTAAAAAGTGAAAGTTTGATTTATGATTATTATTCTGTCCAATTACTTTTGGTCCCTTAACAAGTGGGAGGCACATATGCAAACTGTTGTAATTCCTACACCGTTCACCTGATTTGGATGTAAATACCCTCAAATTAAAGTTGACAGTCTGCAGTTAAAGCACATCTTGTTCGTTTCATTTCATATCCATTGTGGTGGTGTATAGAGCCAAAAATGTTAGAATTGTGTCGATGTCCCAATATTTATGGACCTGACTGTATATCAAGGTGTGCACAATTATTAGGCAGCTTATTTTCCTTAGGCAAAATGGGCCAAAAAAAGATTTTTCTGACTCTAAAAAGTCAAAAATTGTAAAAAGTCTTTCAGAGGGATGCAGCAGTCTTGAAATTGGAATGTGATCACAGAACCATCAAACATTTTGTTGCAAATAGTCAATAGGGTCACAAAAAAACCTGTTGAGAAAGAAAGATGCAAATTAATTGCCAAAGATTTGAGAAGAATCAAATATGAAGCTACCAGGAACCCATTATCCTCCAGTGCCGTCAATTTCCAGAACTGCAACCTACCTGGAGTGCCCAGAGGTACAAGGTGTTCAGTGCACAGAGACATGGAGAAGGTAAAGTAGGCTGAAACCCGACCCCCACTGAACAAGACACGTCAAAACTGGGCCAAGAAATATCTGAAAACAGATTTTTCAAAGGTTTTAAGGACTGATGCGATGAGTGACTCTTGACGGGCCGGATGGATGGGCTGGATCAGTAACGTGCACAGAGCTCCACTTCAACTCATGCGCCTGCGAGGTGGAGTAATGGTATCGGCTGGTAAGATGAGCTAGTTTGACCTTTTCAGGACTCAAAATCAACTACCAAACCTACTGCCAGTTTTTAGATGACACTTAAGCAGTGCTACAGGAAAAAGTCTGCATCTTTCAAGAAGTGATATTTATGCTCCATCACACGCATTGAAGTACTCCAGTGCGTACCTAGCCAGTAAAGGCCTTAAAGATTAAAAAATAATGACATGGCCCCCTTCCTCACCTAACCTAAACCCTATTGAGAACTTGTGGGCCCTTCTTAAACAGGAGATTTACACTAAAGGAAAACGGTACACCTCTCTGAACAGTGTTTGGGAGGCTGTGGTTGCTGCTGCACAAAATGTTGGTTGTCAAAAGATCAAGAAATTGACAGACTCCATGAATGGAAGACTTATGACTGATATTGAAGAGAATGGTGGCTGGATTTATTTTTCTTTTTTTTTTTGAAATGTCAGAATTTTGTAAATTTTGAGTTGTTTTATTATTCTCACTTTAACAGATGAAAATAAATGAGATGGGGAAAAACGTTTGTTTTTCATTTAGTTGCATAATAATTCTGCACTCTAACACTTGCCCAATAATTGTACACACATACTGTAGATATTCTCCTAAGAATGCCAAAACCTTACTTTACTTAAATATTCAGGTTTATAAACATTTTGGATTGACCGAGAGTACTGTAGTTGTTCAATAATTAAATGAATCCTCAAAAATACAACTTGCCTAATAATTGTGCACAGAGGGGTATGTATATTTATTTTGGCAGTGCTGTGCCCCTCCAGTGTTAAAGAGTTGTTGACCCAGGATTCTCATCTAGGCAGGTTGAGGGGCTCCAGTGGGCTTTTGTCATGAAGAAGAAACTGGCTTTTCAGTTTCCTCATTGTTTAGTAAAGTCTATTTTAAGACCTGGAGTCCAGAAATTTCTTGGCTCGTGTTTTTAAGAACAACCGACACACTGATTGTACAGGTGAGGGCTGGGCTTTAACTTGTTGCCGACCGCAGATAGCCGAATGACGGCTGCCCTGCGGCTGGCCAGTTCTGAGTGGACGTCATATGACGTCCCCCCAGAACGCGCTCTCCTGCGCGCCCCAGGGGGCGCGCACCCGGAGATCTCTGTGATGGCTGTGTCCTACGGACACAGCTGATCACGTGATGTGGTAAAAGACCAATCACAGCGGCCTTTTACCACCTGATCAGCGGTGTCCAATGACACGCTGATCAGAGGGAAATGCAAGTGCCGGTTCTCGGCTGCACTTTCCTCACGCTGTCAGATCGTGAGGAAAGTACTGCCGAGAACCGGCAGTTGTCAGAGCGGGGATCGGCACCGATCATCAGGGCACTGATGATCAGTGCCCTGATGATCGGTGCCCAGCAGTGCCACCCGCAAGTTCCGCCCACCTGTGTGCCCAGCAGTGCGCCGCCCACTAGCTGCACCCACCTGTGCCCACACCCACCTGTGCCCAGCAGTGCACCCACCTGTGCCACTCTGCAATGTCACCTACCTGTGCCCAGCAGTGCCACCACCTGTGCCCACCCACCTGTGCCCCACCCACTCTGTGCCTACCAGTGCCCACCCACCAGTGCCGCCCACCAGTGCCACCCACCAGTGCAGCCCAGCAGTGCTGCCAGTCAGTGCCCAGTCAGTGCCCAGCGGTTGTGCCAGTCAGTGCCGCCAGTCAGTGCCCAGCAGTGATGCCAGTCAGTGCCGTCTATCAGTACCCATCATCAGTGTCACCTATCAGTGCCGCCTATCAGTGCTGCATATTAGTGCCGCCTATTCGCGACACCTCATTAGTGCTGTCTATCAGTGCCGCCTATCCGTGCCACCTCATTAGTACTGCCTATCAGTGCCCTTTAGTGCTGCCTATCAGTGCCCATCAGTGCCGCCTATCAGTGCCCATCAGTGCTGCCTCATCAACGCACATCAGTGAAGGAGAAAAATTACCTGTTTGAAAAATTTTATAAAGAAAACAAAGAAACTTTTTTTTTTTTTTTTTTTTTTTCAAATTTTTGGCAATTTTTTTTTTATTTATAGCGCAAAAAGTAAAGCACCCAGTGGCAATTAAATACCACCAAAAGAAAGCTCTATTTGTGAGAAAAAAATGATCAAAATTTCATATGGGTACAATGTTGCATGACCGCGCAATTGTCAATCAAAGTGCGGCAGCGCTGAAAGCTGAAAATTGGCCTGGTAAATAAGGGGGTATAAGTGCCTGGTAGTCAAGTGGTTAAGTAGTGACCTGACTGGGGTTGTAGGCTCCGCCCAGGCAGACAGGAGGCCTTTGCTCAGGAGTCAGGACAGCTCCACCTAGGAGAGGCAGGTAGGAGCCAGAGCTGGGGACACGCATGCACGCACACGAAAGTAGGCAGCAACGTAAGGGTACATTACTTTGCTTACAGCAGCCTTCCATCTACAGTACATTGTGGGCGAGTGGGTAAAGTGTGTGTTTTTTTTTTTTTTTTGTTTTTCACTAATTTTGAAGCGATTTATCTGCTGTAAAAGCTTTTAGTAGAGATTTATTAGTAATTATTTTGGTGCATAAATATTCACATCTTCATTTCATCACTATAAGAAGTGGAACACTATATTTTATTATATAAATTTTCAGGTTTATGTGATATGTTTTTTAATTTTAGCTAGATCTACTAACAGGTGGTGTTTGGTAGCTGCATGGGGAAACGTTTTCTATATTATACTGCAACAGAGAAATTAAGTTCCTGGAATGAATTTAAAGTGTTACTAAACTCCGGACCCAGCATTCACCTTATCTGGTCTTTCACAGTACACAGAACATGAACGTGCAAATATTTTAGTAAATCTAAACTGCTTTTCTCATCTGAGTTAGAGCAGTCTTGTGTCTTCTATCCGTGTCCAGCAGAGCACTGGTTAAAGCTTGTAGGAGGAGTTTTCATTCTGCTCTAGGAAGATGCAGAGCCCCTGACCTCTGTCTGGACAATGCTGATTGGCCCTGTGCTGATCACATGCACCCTCCCAGCAAAAAAAAAAAAAAAGGCCTCTCTAGCAATACACACCAAACTGAGCATGTGAAGAGTGACTCCACACAATATATCTTATCAGGAGATAAGAGGTGGACACTGAAATAAGGTGAGGATCAGAGAAGTCAGGATCAAACATCCTTTTTACATAATGCAGAGGATTAACCCCTTAAGTTCCACAGTGCATATAACAAGCATGCTTTACTGTATATACAGACTGATTTTGCTGTTGTGGGTTTAGTAACACTTTAACTTAATATTGTGCAAATGTTTAGGTGATTTTTGTCTTCAATGGGAGGCTTCCTTAACTGAATATTATACAGCAAAGCTTTAAAGCTGAATTGCAGGCAATTTATTGCCTATTAAGACTGCTAATGACATCACAGGTTTGCTCAGTCTGTGCAAAGCACTTGGTTGTAGGAGGAACTCTCCCTATGTTTCGTCAACATGGTGTGCATCTCAAAGAGTTTTGCTGTAGCTTGGGCAGAGGTCGTAAGTGGTGCACTTAATATAGGAAGAGGGTTTGACTGGGGGTGTAAAATGGGGGGTTTCAAGCATCTGCATGCAATGATGTAATCATGACATGTCTGCCTTTATAAAACTCTACTTTTGTCAGATACAAGACCAGTCACCTTGAGCAGGTCTAAAGTGCAGTGGTGACCAGTCATTCCTAAAGAAAATGTCTGCGCATAAGCAAGGTGCAATCAATTTTCTGGCAAGATTTCTGAACACTGCTGGCAGTAGTATAATAAAGTGAGAGGCAGACTCAAATAGGACTTCACATGTTCTATGTCATTTGGGGGAAAAAAGTGTAGCCTAGAGTTCAGTTTTAAATTAAAGCACAATTGTGCCCAGGGTAAAGATCATCTCCCTGATCTGGTGCTTGCACATGTTCTTCCTTAGTTTGTCACCAGAAAACCCAGAGGTCTCAAAAATATTGGGTGCTCTATTATGCAAATAATGACCAAAAGTGATCATGTTGGGTTCTTGCCCTCTCTATCCTCATCCTGTGATTAGCCTCCATTTGGCTATTAACTGTGACCTCATTAGCCAATTTGAAGTATTAAATTAAGGATCCAAAACTGAAAGGCAAGAGTGCTAACCATGTAACCACCATTTTGATTGATATTTCATTATATTTACCTGTTAAATAAGAGAAAAAAAAAATTGTTACTAGGCCGTACCACTTTTTTTTTCTGTTTGATGTAATGGGAGCCATGGATGAGGAAGGGGCAGAAATAAAGCCTAGTTATTTATACCTAATCATCAGTTTTCCAGTTTCATATCCAGTATCTTATCCACTTATTTAGGACTGTGAAACAAAAATTGCGCAAGAAATTGCCAGTCTTTCTAAGGAAGATGTTTCTAAAGAAGAAATGACTGAAAATGAAGAAGAAGTTCTTAATATTCTGCTTGCACAGGTATTTCTATTTACACTGCTGTGTACTGCCTGTAAGGGGCTGTCCTTTAAACTCTCTTAAGATTGCTAAGATTCTTAGTGTGGTTGTTAAACCTCCCTAGTGGTATTCCCGAGTCTAGCTCGGGGTAAAATGTCAGTGCCAAAAGCGGTAACCCCGAGCTACACTTGGGCTTACCATGCGGCGCTGCATAGGGAGTCCCTGCAGCACTTACCTTGTCTTTCGCTCCCGCGATGTGTCCCCTGCAGCGTCCCCGGCCATCTCCTCCGGCCGATGCCGGCATCCGGCTTCTGTGTTTTCCGGTCCCTGTGACGTCGGGACGTACGGGCGACGGCGGCGGCGGGAAATTTGAAAATTTTAAAAGTCATTTTTTTCAAAACAAATTTTACATAGCAAAACATTGCTGTTTCAACCCATTTCACATACATTTTGTCCCTAGTGCTTTGTCCTGTGCCCTGCCTGCATTTTGTCTGTTCTTTCTGCCTGGAAACTGAGAAAAGTCCATGGCGTCCAAAAAGTGTCCCTTTAGCTCAAAAGCGAGTTTAGATCAGCTAGAGAACAGCGATAGTAAATCAGAACCACTTGCAGAATTGAGTGATAATGATTCGTGGGGAAATTCGTCTTCAGACACGGAAAACGATTTTGCGACTTTGCTCAGCAATGTGCGAACTTGGCGCTATATTTCAAATTTCAGTGTTTTCGGTTTGATTATATTATTGAATTAAATGTATTATTATTATTTTTTAAGATTATTTATTAAATTATAATTTATGATTTTGTGTTTCAAATTTTATCATACCTGGGATGTTTAATAGACTCTTGTTTGGACAGATTTCAGTGAGTTATTCCTAAAAATTACAGCCTACAATAAAAAAACTACATATTTCCATGCAAAATAATGGTACCGCTTTCAGCACCAAAAATCTGAAATTAATCAGACCGCCAGGGAGGTTAAACAAAATCTACATCAAGTGGAATAAGGAGTTGCCACTATAATCCTCTTTCTGAAAATGCTGATTGCATGGCAGTCATCCCTTATCCTCTGACTCCAGTGCTTTCTGAGTCACTGACTCTGAGCATGCTTGCAGTCATTAGAGTTAAGTCAGAATTTCATATTTGTCTTAATTGTACAGTACAGGGCACAGGCATTGATTCTTAGGCCATGTGTTATATGCCACTACCTGTAGGTGAATGGACAATGGCAAAAGCTTTGCTGGGCCACCCCCATGTACCCATATAACCCTGTCTACTCCACAAGGCTCCATTTTTTTGCTAGTGTCCTTAGGTAATGGAACTCATTTCTTGTTGGAGAAAATGCTTTTTATAATTTTTTTCACTAGTTTTCTTTTTGTTCTTTGGCTGATACTTCTATCAAGATCGGACTGCTTATTGGCTTATGGCTCACTTGCAGTTTCCGTATTGGTTACCCTGTCCATACATTGGGAACCATATCTGTACCCTGTGGCATTAGGGGTGGCCTATGACTAAGCAAGTGTTTATGTGAAAGGCATCTACTGCTCCTCTGTTCTTTCTTGGAGCTGTCATGTTCTTATCATATTGCTTGTAAAGGATACCAATTTCATCAGCCACATTGTTGTTTGTGCGGCCAACCATTCTTTTTTTCCATTAGGGGTGGCCTGTAATGTTTCTTCTGACACTAAAGCCTGTGTTCAATAGGTGTGTGGTGTGCAACTAGTGAGTTAGCAGCAATATGCTATACTGTTCCAGGTATGTGGTCCGCTCACATGGCACACAGACCCTAAAGACCGCTTAGGGGTATGCCCTCTGTGAAGGGTGAAGCTTGGACCCTAGATGGGACCACCAACCTTGACAACTTTATATGCTAGTTCCTGGCTATACATGTCTTCTTTGCCCTTTACTTGGATCTGTAGTACACTCTACATTGAAAGCACAGGTTGTGCGGTAATCTACAGTTTGAGTGTTTTTTCCTTAGCTTTTATTGTCCTGCCTTATGGACAGGGGGGGTAACATCATTACACCACCTACTTCTTTAAAATGGGTGTTTTTTTCTTTTACCTCAGTACCAGATGTAATGCTTTATAAAACTAACTGTGCACTTTTGGCTGTCATCTTTCGATGATGACACAACTGATTGTTTCTGGCTCTCAAGTTGCTTATACCTCAGAAATATAGTCACAGGAACTCCATTTGCATCTGGGTGATTGTGATTCCTTAATACCAGACATGCTGAACCCCCTCAGTCAGCATCTATGCCATGAGTACCCCACAGTGGAAGATCCTCACTTAGCATTGATGGCATACAGGCGCTTGGGAGCAGGAGCACATCAGCTAGCAGGAATTCTTCTGCCAGCCCTTGGAAAAATTCCAAGTTTCTCTCAGGTTTATAGTTGTTACCTTGTTTTGGAACAAAGTCTTAAGCAAACACTACTCTATCCCTCTGATTTTGGCTCCCTCACAGGCATGCAGCATGTGGACTGTATGATGAAAACTGAATGTACTGTGAAGGAAATAAATATTTGATCCCCTGCTGATTTTGAATGTTTGCCCACTCACAAAGAAATGATCAGTCTACAAATCGAATGGTAGGTGTATTGTAACATTGAGTGACAGAATAGCAACACAAAATTCAAAAGAAATGCATGTCTAACAAATTATGCACTGATTTGCATGTTCATGAGGGAAATAAGTATTTGATCCCTTTCACACAAAACATGACTTAGTACTTGGTGGCAAATCCCTTGTTGGCAATCACAGAGGTCAGACGTTTCCTGTAGATGGCCACCAGGTTTGCACACATCTCAGGAGGGATTTTGGCCCACTCCTCTTGGCAGATCCTCTCCAAGTCTGTAAGGTTTTTTGGCTGACGGTTGGCAACTCGAACTTTCAGCTCCCTCCACAGATTTTCAATCAGATTAAGGTCTAGAGACTGGCTAGTCCACTCCAGGACCTTAATGTGCTTCTTCTTGAGCCACTCCTTTGTTGCCTTGGCCATGTGTTTTAGGTCAATGTCATGCTGGAACACCCATCCACAACCCATTTTCAATGTCCTTGATGAGGGAAGAAAGTTCCACCCAAGATTTGATGGTACATTGCCCCGTCCATCGTCCCTTTGATGCGGCGCAGTTGCCTGTCCCCTTAACAGAAAAACACCCCCAAAGCAGAATGTTTCCACCACCATGTTTAACAGTTGGGATGGTGTTCTTGGGGTCATTAAGGCAGCATTCCTCCTCCTCCAAACACGGCGAGTTGAGTTGATGCCAAAGAGCTCATTTTGGTCTCATCTGACCACAACACTTTCAACCAGTCGTCCTCCTCTGCATCATTCAGATGTTCAGTGGCAAACTTCAGACAGGCCTGGACATGTGCTTTCCTGAGCAGAGGAACCTTGCGGGCACTGCAGGATTTCAATCCTTGTCGGCATAGTGTGTTACCAATTGTTTTTTTGGTGACTGTGGTCCCAGCTGCCTAGAGATCATTGGCAAGATCCTCACGTGTAGTTCTGGGATGATTCCTCACTGTTCTCATGATCATTGACACTCCACGAGGTGAGATCTTGCATGGTGCACCAGACCTTGGGAGACTGACAGTTGTTTTGTGTTTCTTCCATTTGCGAATGATTGCACCAACTGTTGTCACCTTCTCACCAAGCTGCTTGGTGATAGTTTGGTAGCCCAGTCCAGCCTTGTGTAGGTCTACAATCTTGTGCCTGACATCCTTGGACAGCTCCTTTTGATAACGTGCTCGTCCGCACGAAAACGCGTCAGGGTGGAGCCTAGCCGGTGACGTCACGCCGCCCCGCACCCCGTGGAGGCCGGCGGCCATCTTTGTTTCTGGGATACCCTATGTGAGTTGTTTTCACTATGCTGCAATAAATGTTTATGAACCTACTACACTATCAGTGCTTTTTTGGGGTGGGCTGTTTGGTCGAGCCCCCCCCCCCCCCTTTTTCAAGGTGGATATCTTGTTTGAGTGTCCTGGTCTGAGGAGTCTGGATTAGCTTTATGCCAATTATTGCTGGATGACTGGTGTCCCCCTGCTGGTTAGAGGAAGGAGCATCCCTACCAGAGTGACAGCCTGCTAGATGACCCACATTGCTTCAGCCTTCTAGTACCAGGAGTGGTCTGACAACTGAAATGCGCACATTATGCGCTTTCTGGTGAGTGCATAATATTTACCCACCTTTGAGCACGGAGTCAACAACTTTTGCACCTTTTTACTGGGACAATTGAACCATTATCTGAGGACGTTGTTTTCACTTTAAGCACTTTAGCCACCACTCATCTTACTTGATTTTATTCATATTTTTATCAGATTTATGATTCATGAGTCATCTTTTTTTAGCGCTGCATATGTTATTATCCTTGGACAGCTGCTTGATCTTTGCCATGGTGGAGAGTTTGGAATCTGATTGTTTGTTTGCTCCTGTGGACAGGTGTCTTTTTTTTTATACTGGTAACAAAATTAGATTAGCAGCACTCCCTTTTAAGAGACTGCTTCTAATATCAGCTTGTTACTGTATGATAGACACCTGGTAGCCAGAAATCCTGCTGAATGATAGGGGATCAAATACTTATTTCCCTCATGAACATGCAAATCAGTGCATAATTTGTTAGACATGCATTTCTTTTAAATTTTTTGTTGCTATTCTGTCTCTCAGTGTTACAATACACCTACCATTCGATTTTTAGACTGATCATTTCTTTGTGAGTGGGCAAACATTCAAAATCAGCAGGGGATGAAATACTTATTTCCTTCACTGTATGATTCACCTTATTGGTGTCAGGACTGTCATCTATGGCTGTCTGACATGTCTTCCCTTGGGAACAAACCCTTCTTCAAGTTCTTCACAGGCATTTTTAGGAAAGCAGGTCAGCAGCCCTCAAATTTTGGCACCTGCAGCATAATTTTTTTTTTTAACAGACAACTTCTGTACAGCTGCCCTGCTGGGAAATGTCCTCTCGATTACTGTAGTGTGCTTATCAGTGTATTCTGATTGGGGAAGCCTCCCACTGTCCAAATACAATGACACAGTGGGGAGGATTCCTCCATCCGCTTTGGATCTGGGAACTGGGTCAGTTTTTTTGTTCAACCCACCGGTTGAACGAAAAAAAAGGACTCAATATGGCCAGTTTCAGGTATCTCCAGACCTATTTGTCAATCGTAGATCAATTTTCAGTGAGGATCCTGAATCTTCATGGTTATCTCTGAATTTTTTTAACAGCTAATACCATGCAAGTATAATTTTACTATGTTTGTATGTTGAGATATAATCGAATACCAATGTATTTTGGCCTTCTATATAACTTAAAAAAAAAAAAAAGCTTTGCCAAGTTATAGTTACCCTCTCCACACTCCAGTGCTTTCCTTGATCCAGCACCAGCAGTCTTTTTCAGTCAGATTGACAGTCCTGTCATTCTTCCCATTTTCTGTGAGCCCAGCCAGTTTTACATATCATGTAGGGGGCTTGTTATCACTTAGGTTGGGCTCACAGTACTGCGGAGCATTACATGAGCATCGCTAAGTCCTGGAAGAATGCCTCTGCCAGAGGAAGGAGAGAAAACTTCTGTAATATCACCAAATCAGCAGGAAAAGGTATGTATAGTGTGTGTGTGATGTTATTACATAGTCTGGCTGAAAAAAGACAAAAGTTCATTCAGTTGTGTTTTTTTGGGTTTTTTTTTTTAATAAAAAGACCCAAAAGGTGGGAGAACTCAGGTGGCAGGCTAGCGTTCCTCTTCTTATTTATAAATTGAGATTAATGAAACCCTTATTTTAGAAGTTTGTATTTTTAATCTGTTAAATTGGCAAACACAATACATGTTACCGAATGATTTTTTGTTTGGTAAAACACATTAAACAAAATAGTTTTCACCTTTTTTATCCTTTTTATTGCATATTAGTGTTGCTGATTCTCACTTTGCAGCCTCTTGTCTACATATGTGCACTCCAGTGATGACTGCCTGAAGGTTTTCAGGGTGGTTTTCCTGATGGTGACAGCAGTGGATCATGTCACATAATGTGTGTTGAATTAATCTGTCAGAGTGACAACACAGGAGCAGAATTGGGAGACAAGGATAGAGTGTTGTCACTCTGAAACAGGAAGCGTCTGCACAAGGACTTTTATGGCAGGATTGGCAGGTATTAATTTAATGCTGCAGATTTTAAAACCTTCAGCATTACAACCTGTAAAGTTTATATGAGATTTTAGTGATTAAGTTTACAAGTATAAAGTTTACATTTTCTTCTGTGTATGTAAACATCTGTGTAATTGGTCCACATGTGAGCACTGTATTTTATAGGTTTACTCCTTAAAGCTAACCTGTGGTTTACAGTAGTAAACTGTCCATGAGATTACACTGTAAACATCTCTAGGCTCTATATTTCTAAAATGTGCCATTGTAGCTTTGTTCTACTATACTTCCCATCCTTCCAGCCTCTATATCGGTCTATGAACCTGCTAATTACACTTAATGGCCTATAGAAAGGGTAAAAGCAATTGTAAGGTGCAGTCCCCAGTGTTTATGCAAGCTCTGGTCCCTTGCTGCATAATATAAAGTCTCCTATTTTGGGATGCTTTGGAAGTAAAGTATCTGTATCTGTTCATGCAGACACCATGGGAGGTGCATGCAGTGTAATGATATAATTGCAGTAGGATTTTGCTCTGCTGGATTGAGAACCCTGTAAAACAGACTGTGTCCTGGCATCATTTTTGTACTGACAAGTTCTTCATCCTATTAGGAAAATGAAATATTAACAGAACAAGAAGAGCTGGTTGCAATGGAGCAGTTCCTGCGACGTCAGATTGCAACAGAGAAGGAAGAAATTGACCGTCTGCGAGCAGAGATTTCTGAAATTCAAAGGTACTTGTGGTTTCCATCATAAGCCAATTTGAAGTATAGAAATATATATCAATCATTGTAAATGTAAAGGGGTATATTCCTACAGCATGTGCAAGTCTTTAGTGTGAAAAGTGGGAAATAATCAGATATGTAATGCAGTTTCATCTCTCTATGACCAGTGTGATATTACTTTTAATATTTGATGTTTCTGTTGATCTGCTATACACCCCGCAGCCGCCAGCAGCATGGTCGGAGTGAGACAGAAGAGTATTCATCTGAGAGTGAGAGTGAAAGTGAGGATGAGGAAGAGCTGCAAATTATTCTGGAAGATCTGCAGAGACAGAATGAAGAGCTGGAGGTGAGCCATTGTATATACAGGAAAGAAGGTTATCTGCTGCCACCTACTGAACTCCATCCTTTTTTCTTTAAAAGTGACCCCTATGCTTTTTTTCTGAAGAAGCTCTTATCTAAGCACTGTTCAAATATCAAAATCCAAGGCAACTCGGATCCATACACTCACAATGTTTGTTTAATTTCCTGTGTGTGGTAATTTGTCGTCTTTAGCATACGAAGGTGCATAACTGAGTGAATAAGTCTGAACCAGGGAAAAATAGTTTGCCTGTGGGAACTTATCTGCCCCTATATATTTTGTCAGTCAACACAATGAGGAGATAGGCAGAAACATAGTTTACAAGCCTGTTGGCTATGGGACTTTATGAATGGTTTGATAAGGATGTATGGGTAGGGGGCAAGCTCTCCCATCAAAGGTTACATCAAAATATCTGAGGTAGAACCAATACCAAATACAGGGTTTACAGAAAACAACAAGGTTCTATGAAAACAGCTGTGACATTAGTGAGTCAAACAACCATGATTACATATAGTTGGGGGTATTATTCCTATCCCCAAGCCTAGATAGCAGGGTAGGGAGAGGCCGTAGAAATAAATTGTGGAGGGAGGAAGTCCAGCTGGGTGAGCCCTGCAGCATTAAAACGATCCTCATGTCATCAGTAAAAGAGATCAAAGAAAGTTTTGGACATTGGGGATGAGAGAGGTTGAAGAATTAATGTTCTCTGTTGCAAAGAAGTTATGGTATTGTTCATGTAAATGGCCAGTTAATTCCTCCATTCTCATGATATGGCTCAGATCATCGACCCTCTCCCTGATTTGTGGAATAGTGGCCATTCTCCAGTGTCTAGGGAACAATGCCCTGCCTGCAGAAAGGAGGAATTGTAAGAGGCCTGCCTTTGATACTGCATTGAATCCATGACATATAGAGAGTCGCTTCTAGAGTTTCCGGCCATGTCCAACCTGTGTTTTGGTTTTATAGACCAAAGAGAACCTTCCAGAAAATGTGAAGAATTGTGCCTTTTCCATCTCCAGCAATGGTCAGAGACTGAGGGGAAGATCTTACTTAGTGTGGAGGGGTACCTATACCACCTGGTCAATATTTTGTAGCTTCTTTTTTTAAGTTTGCCTTGCTATGTTTATTTTAAAAGGTCAAGAAGAAATATGTCTCCCAGTCTTCATCGGTGATAGTGGCCCAGTTTTTTTTTTCTCCCATTCTTTAGTATAACCAGATAGTGCTTTACAGGATAATGGAGTTATCTAACCCAATATTGTTCTTTATTTCACGTTCAAAAATATGAGGCAAATGTGTGATCTGGCATTTTTTAGATATTTCCTATACTTGTGCCAATATGTGTGATGGTGTTTAGTATCCTGCAATACTGAGTAAAAAAGGAGCAGGGCTTATTTGAAGAGGGTGATTTCATAGGTCAGAAGATTTATTAAATGTTAGCTGACATAAACACTGATCACATAAAGATCCAAAAAAGTGCAACTCTAGTGATAACACACTATGCACTTGTAGTACCACTCCGTGATCTTAATTCCCCTTTGCTTATTAAAAAAAATGAAATGATAGTGATAAAACAACCGTGGTCCCTTATATAAAGGGAAATTGTGTATAGTGCCAAATAATTAATTAAATACTATAAAGTGTCTTTCTAAAAAGACAAAATACCCAGAATAAGGATAAATATCAAAAAATCCTCCCAAACAGTCCAATAAACATATATACGTGATGTTCCAAAATCAAAACAATCATGCAAGTGATGATGTGAACTGGTGATCTTCACTCAGGTGTCAAATCCTCAAATCAGCAGAAATGCCCGCTCACCTTCAAACCTTGACCCTAGGGGCCAACACGCTTATAGGATCACCTCAGTCGATCCTTAAGAGTAATTTTTTTCCACCAGGACAGATGTCAGATATACTCAACATATAGGCTCTTACTCGTCTCAGGTTCCTTACAGGCAATAGTACTGCAATACAGCTCTCTCCACCTCCTCCACTCAGGATCATGTAAGTAAGATATAAAAAACATTTCCTCCATAGTGCAATATTGCTTTAATAACTCAATGTAAAAAAACAACCAAATAGCACACTCACATGTATTCCCATAAACAAACGCTTTTTCACCACAGGCTATGGGTGTACTGCATGTGCTGGGTGTACCAATATGGCCTCTTTCCCGGAAGTGCGTCACCGGAAGTTGCTTACCGATGCGTTGCGTCACGTGCCTTGTGACTTCATCAGGGTACCCTGATGAAGTCACGAGGAACGTGACGCAACGGTTCTGTACTCAACTTCCGGTGACGCGGTGAAGCACTTCCGGGCAAGAGGCCATATTGGTACACCCAGCACAAGCAGTATTCCCATAGCCTGTGGTGAAAAAGCGTTTGTTTATGGGAATACATGTGAGTGTGCTATTTGGCTACTGTTTTTTGCATTGAGTTATTAAAACGATATTGCACTATGGAGGAAATTGTTTTTTATATCTTGCTAACATGATCCTGAGTGGAGGAGGTGGAGAGAGCTGTATTGCAGTACTATTGCCTATAAGGAACCTGAGATGAGTAAGAGCCTATACGTTAAGGAGTATATCTGACATCTGTCCCGGTGGAAAAATTACTCTCAACCTTTTGAGGACCGTAAGGTTTTGGAACGCCAAAAGAATCAATTTTTTTGTTTTTAAAGTTCGTACTCTTCAGTTGCTGTAACTAAGCCATTTCATGAAATAATTGGCAAAAAGCTAAATCCATTTGTTTGTTGATAAGAACTAATATTTTGACTCAAACCAAAAAAAAAAAAAAAAAAAGAGTTTTAAGTTCTTAATCAGATGATACACGCAATTAAAAACATGGGACAAATACGTCCCTTGGTCCTCAAAGGGTTAAGGATCGACTGAGGTGATCCTATAAGCGTGTTGGCCCCTAGGGTGAAGGTTTGAAAGTGAGCGGGCATTTCTGCTGATTTGAGGATTTGACACCTGAGTGAAGATCACCAGTTCACGTCATCACTGGCATGATTGTTTTTTGATTTTGGAACATCACGTATATATGTTGACCTGTTTGGGAGGATTTTTTGATATTTATGCTTATTCTGGGTATTTTGTCTTTTTAGAGAGACACTTTATAGTATTTAATTATTTTTGGCACTATACACAATTTCCCTTTTATGTAAGGGACCACGGTTGTTTTATCACTATCATTTAATTTTTTTAATAAGCAAAGGGGGAATTAAGATCATGGAGTGGTACTACAAGTGCATAGTGTGTTATCACTAGAGTTGCACTTTTTTGGATCTTTATGTGATCAAGAGCACAGTGTGTTTATTCATCAGTTTGTCACTTTTTTACATTATTATAATCATTTTAATAGGACACTGTATAGTATATGATATTTATTTATGTTTAGCGCTTCACTATTTATACATAAAGAGAACGGGGTACTTTTTCATACAAGTACATGGTACAGCAGGCACATATCAGAAATATGGAATGTTGGTTTTACATATTCTTTATGTGTAGAATTTTCGATGTTTTATTTTTACATTGAGTTCCAATCCTAATTTTGTAGGTAAACATTTAGTACACAATTGGAGAACTATGGGTTAGATAAAGAAAGTTTACCAATAGTATTTCTATTTGCCAACTGCCCTTACTGACCTGTACCATTAATGACTGATTCACTCAGTTCTGTGTAAATGCTATGGATCTCTGTAAACAGGCTTTTAACAACACCAATTTGAAGAGAAACCAGAAAGCCTATGAAAACAGCTTAGAGTGCCACCTGCTGGATGGGAAAAAAAAGACTTCATAATTTTAATAAGCAACATTTCTCTGGAAACAAATCAGCTTGTTTTATATTTTTTAGTTGTGTTGACAATACAAAGGAAATAGAACATACAATATGTACAAAACCACGCAGTCTGTTTAACATTCCCTGTACACAAACATCTTGCTTTTGTTACAAATAATACTGAATGCTAATGTCTCTTGTCAGATCAAGAACAACCATTTGAACCAGGCAATTCATGAAGAGAGAGAGGCCATCATTGAGCTGCGAGTTCAGCTTAGGCTGTTACAGATGCAGCGCATGAAGTCCGAACAGCTGCAGGAGGAAGAGGAGCCAGGGAGGACAGGCAGCAGACCCCAGCTGCAGAGGGACACTGCCTCTGAATCAAAACCACCTAAAGACAAGACAAAGGAGCAAGTAAGACCTTCTCCAATTAAAGACTGGAAAGAAACGCTTATCTGAGTGTCAAACTAAAGACGTTACCCATTATTAACACTTTCAGGCAACTGCAGTGCTATGAAAACATGCATCGCTTTATGGAGGAAGAGTTTGCTCGCCTTGTGGGTTCTGGCTTTCCTGGACTCGGGTTACTGACATAGCAGAATAAATACGTTATTATTTTGTATAAGAGTAATGGTGGAAAAAAGAGAATGTAATTTTCTAAAAAAAAAAAAAAAAAAAAACTAAACAAACACAGAAGGACATGTAGTAAGGAAAAGTGGTTATGAATTTTTTTTTTCTTTTTTTACAATTTTACTATCCAAATGTAACCAGACACACCAAAATTCTATTATTTATTCATGAGTTTCTTTGCATCAGAGCAGCTTTAAATATGTAGTTTTTTTTTCTTAATTAAACCAGGGATGTTGCAGCTGTGAATACAACAGTTTGAGACTACTACAAATAAAACTTTTATTCTATTGCATTTTCATGGCTCTCTAGTCATGCGGATGTGTAGGCAGCATTTTTGTAGGTTCGGTGTGAGTGCATAGTAATGTTAAGGCAACATGTTTAGAACAGATATTTGTTTGAGGTCAAGTACAAGGTCACAGAATGAAGCAAATGAGGGCACAATTTCACTGTGCTTCATTCACTAAGTGTTGTATGTAATCCTGGAAATATTAGTATACTTTTTTTTGATTGGTTGCATACAGACTGAATGGCAAGTATTGTATGTGGACTGCCACAAAAGGACTACTTAATTCAGCTTTAATGGAGAGAACCATGTAGGAAGAATAACGCAAATTTGTTTTATTGAGCTCCAGTAACGTCCATTTATAACGCAAAATCATGCAGCCGGTTTTCTTAGTAGGCATTAATGCTATAGGAGGCTTGCTATAGTGGTAGTATTGTTCTGTGAGATTTCCAGATAGATGGTACCCTAGTTTTGGGCACCCAGTGCCTGGAAGTTCATAGCTCTGGGCATTTGGCACCATAAACAAGAATTTGAAAAAAAAAGGGTATCCATCTTAACACCTGACCCTTAGGCTATGCCTCATACACAACTTTCCTTCACTTGTAGTCTAAACCTTAAAGTCTATGTCTTGGTAAAATTTAAAAAAAAGCAGAAAATTACATGATGATCTTGCCAAAAAATCCAGTAAGCTTCTAACTTTCTGTTGATGGACATAACTGAATTTGCTGCTCTGAAATACCAGGCAGTTATGTGATCCCTGCCTGAGTTCTCCCCTTCTGGACTTGTGAACACCACCGCCTCACCTCAGTACCATAATAGGTAGGTGTTCTATAGTCCAACAGGGGAGAACTCAGACAGGGCTGACAACACTGGTTGGTATTGCAGCTAAACTAGTGTTGTCATTCAACTACAGGATATTATCTGTCTGGTAAATTTCGAGCAGATAATCTATACTTGCAGTTTTTGAAAGAAAAAAATGTGCATTTTGCCCAGACATTTACACTTAAAATTAACACTTCTCTTTAAAACACGTAGAGGTTTTTATTTACAAAAATTTTTAGCCAAGATTCACACAACTTTACCCCAGGATTCACACGTCCTATTTGAAAATATAAGTTGTGTGAATCAGGTGTACAAGCATTTATAAACAGATCTTTAACCTCAAAAATGAACTTAACTGTAAAATGTAACCTCCCACTTATCACCTATAACTTCACACCTAAGCTTTTACCCTTAACACTAAGTTCATCCATATTTATCTATCTTGTGACCATCCTATGCAGAAAGTTCTGTTTCTGGCCAGAAAGAATCAACGCAGCGATTCAAGCTCCAAAACCAATTCATTGGACAAAATGTTGTCTGTGTTGGAAAGTATCACTGCCCATCATGCCACAGGGTTTCATTTAGATTACAGCAAGCCTGTTCTGAAATTAGATATAGGCAGCCATTGCTGATTTGTTCCTCTGTCAGCTCTAGTTGCCTGACTCTGCTTCGACTTTCTAAATTGCGGATTTGTTCCATAAGCAGAAAACCAAAGGCAGCCAGTGTTTTTAGAGGAAGCCTGCGGTGGCAGCCCCATATTTCTCTCCTAATAGGTTTTCTATCATCTAAAAAGTTAATCCAACGATTATGTATTTCTCATGAATATAATTACACTTTTACATAAATCAACTTCTGATTTCAGTTTTAAGTTGTCAATTACTTATCAGTAAGGGCACTTTCACACTGATCCATAGTAAAAACACACATACATTTTTGTGGCGATTGCGGTGCGTTTTTTTTCATAGGACATGTGACTTAAAAACCACATCAAAAGCGCAACACAGGTGTGCTTTTGATGCATTTTTTGCCACATTTTCCAATGCATTTCAACGGGGTGGTGCATTTTTGGTGGTTTTTTTTTTTAACTGACGAAATATGCACCAAAGTGCTACAAGTAGGATTTTTTACACCTCAACGGACCAGTGTGAAGACATATATAGACATACATAAAGAAGCTTTTTTTTCTTCAGCTTTTCTTGCACTTTTTTTAACGCAAAAGCACTTCAAGAACTCTTCAGTGTGAAAGCAGCCTAAGACACCTAGATTCTCTTCTGTGAACCTTTTCTGCTTAGCAGGCATGTCTCTGTGATCATCTTTTAGTTAGCAGAAAGGAGTGTGACACACACCCCACAGTGTAATTGGCTTCTACCAATAAATCACTGAGTGTCAATAGACATAAGATAGCAGGGTGACCTAACAGGATTGTGAGTCAAACATCTAAGAAAGCTAGTTCCAAACGAGGTTTATTTTGTAAACATGGCGCCAGAAAAATGATTCTGTAGAGCCGGATTTTTCAGCTGTGTTCCATTGGCTGGACGATCTCTTTGTTTCTTTTTTGCCATCTTAGAAAACACGACTGCGGTCAACACTCCTTTTGTTTTTGTAGAAAAATATTTTCAATATTACATGGCAACATTGCATTTTTATTTTGCATACAAATTCTCTTTTTGGGTCTGAACGTTTATTCAACAAATTTTTTTTATACAAAAGGTCTTTGTATGAAAGATCATTTAGGAGTCTGGCAAGCACAGTCTTGTGTCTGTTGATAGCCCAACTTTTACTTTTTTGTGCCTTTTTATGCTTTGATTTCAAATTACTTGGTTGCAGTGGCACCACCTCATACTTTGGTAGACAGCTGTGTTGACTGCGGGTGTTAAGTGTTTTTTTTTTTTTTTTTTACACTTCCTGTTATGCTGCCTACATCACTTGCCATAATAGTCTAATATGTGAGCTCAATCACTTGTCTTTGTGTGTAAATATAACTAATTTCTCTACTGTGTATGTAAACAGCCTTTTTAATTCCGCGTAATGTACTGGCATCAAGATACTTGAGATTAAGGCAGCTGATATTTGTCATGGTTTGGGATTACTGTAGGTGATGGTTCCCTCTGTGACACTGCTCACGTTCTACTTAAGTCTGTGAATGGGTCTTCCCTGTTTAAGATGTAATCCAGATATGCTTATTTATCATGCGTTTATGTTTATCAACCATGCAGCCCACCAATGCAAATTTTTTAGGAAATCCGTGCCACCTTGGGACCTGGGAACATACAGAACAGGATCCATTCAAGCAGTAGGAGAGGGATGGACAATGAGTGATAAATGTGCTGATCCAGGTCCATTAATGTTATTTAATCCATAGGCTCAAATAAATGTTCATTTTGTTTTTTATTCATTCCTCCTTTTTTTAGGACATAGATTAGAAACTATCCCGATATCACTGGGCACAATTTGTGCCTGATCTGGCTACTTTTCCTTAATGATTCTTACATGTCTTGTTGCTTGCACCACGTCTGTGAAACTGTATTATATATTCACTGTTCATGGTTTATAGAACTATTCCAGCAATACAAATGTGGGCTGGATAACACATTGCTGGAGCCAATAAAAGCACATTCCAGTCCCATTTTGGATATACAGGGTTGTTTAGTGGGTTGGGTTTATACAATAGTTTTGTGTTCTAGTTCCAGCTGTCTCTACTACTTCAGATTGCACACACTTAAGCTTCATAGTCTGTGATGACCCTCAGATGAACATTGCAAATTAAAGATCAGGCAAAGCTTTAAAAGACATCATTGATCTCTGTGAATATTTGCCAGTTAAGTAAGATTTGCATGTTAAGTAAAGACAGGTTAAAGACATTTGCTCTTTTCAAAAGGATCCTAAAATAAGCTTGTAGCGTACAGTCAGGTCTGTAGCGTGCTGTAATGCATCACTCATATTGTTTCTCAACTTGCCTTGCCTAGCCTTCATGGATAATCCTGTATGGTGAAGCACAAAACATGCTGAGTCTCCGAAAGATGCAAGGGCTCCTTTGTCTCATGCAATGTGCAAGCCTCTACCATACATGCCTAGCAGGTGTATATGGCCATTGATTCAATTTGTCTTCCATATTTCTGGTGTCGTTTAACCTTACTGACCTAGTAAAGTAAATCTGTCTTAAGAGAAACCTGGAGGCGGCCATTCTTAGCCTTTTTTTTTTTTTTTTAGAGTCGCTGACCCAGATCAGGTATGTAGAAAAGCACTTGGATTTCTGGGTCAGTGATTGAACGGTAATGATAACATTATTATAGTACATATAGTCATCGTTACAGCTAGCAGTTTTTTTTAGAAAGAGGTTCGTAATGAGAGTCTTCACATTTCCCTCATGTCAGGTTAACTCTGGGGCATAACAGGATAATTTTCCAAAAAAAAAAACTGTGAAAACACCTTTAAAACCTACAAATAAGGGCTTTCAAAGGGGGGGGCTGGTAAACATTCCAGATTCCAGCCCAAAAGAGAAAATTGAGTCAAGTAGCTCAATGTATGTTTGCTTAGAAAAATGGAGTTGGTAGCAGCATATAGGCTTTAATACTGTGATACTGCCCATGTCATAGGCTCTCCAATGACAGGCCCACCCTCTCTCCTCTTGCAGGTGACCTGACCCATGAGCAATCATGGTACACACAATCATTTTTTTGTCGTTGGCTTGTAAAAACTAGTCTGAAGAGCATGCACTTCAACA